GGAACCACAGTCATCTTTATCTCTCTCTAGAATATCCTTCAGCACTCTCTGTAAAGTTGGTTTGGTGGTTACAAATTCCTTCAGTTGTTCTTTATCATAGAACTATCTAGTTTTTCCATCAGTTTTGAAAGATAGTTTTTCAGAGCATATGATTCTGGGTTGGAAGTTGTTTTCTTTTAGGGTTTGAAACACTTCACTCCAAACTTCTTGACTTGATGGCTTGTGTTGAAAAGTCTGTCATGATCTCAATTGGTTTTCCTTTATAGGTGAAGTGTTTCTTTTATCTAATAGCATGTAATATTCTTTTCTTGTGATGATTTTCCAGGATCTTGATTATTATATGTTTAGGTGTAGGTTTACTTTGGTTATGGCTAGTTGGAGTGCTGTAGTCCTCGCTTATCTGAATGCCAGATCCTTTGCCCATATTTGGGAAGATTTCTGCTATTAACTCTCTAAATAGCCTTTTTTTTTTTTAATTGGTACCAGGGATCGAACTCACGACTGCCTGCTTGCTAGGCAGGTGCTTATGCCACTGAGCTAAATCCCCAGCCCTTAAATAGCCTTTTTATTTCATTTGTTTTGTTGCCTGCTTTCTCACTGATACTTATCACTCTTAAATTATTTTTCTTTGTGTCATCTTTCAATCATTGCATTGTTATTTCTTGGTTCCTTTTTACTTTTAAGAGATCTTTTCTTTCATGATCACTAGTTATGACTCTGTCTTCAAGGTTTGAAAGTCTATCTTCAGAGTCTTTCAAGCAGTTTGGCTGGTTTTTGATTGACTTTTTAATTTCCTGGATATCTGTTTCAATCTGTTCATTCCTTGTAATTCCTCTCTTTATTGCTCAAAGTTTCCATCATTTTCCTATGCTTCTGATTTTTTATATGCATTCTCTTTAGATATGCTGAGCAATTCTTTCATTATATTGTTCATTTCTTCTTTTATCTGAGATATTACTTCTGACTTGATTGCTTTCACAGTCTCATGAAATTGTTTCTTTACTTCAGTTGCTATTCTCTCAGAGCTTTCAGGTGTGCCACTTCCATTTTCTTCCATGACTCTATCTCCTAGACTTGTACTGTGTTGGCTGATATCTTTTATTCCTTTGTCTTGACATTCTCCTGGGATCCTCTCAACAAACTGGGGTGGGGTCCAAGGTCCTTCTTATGTTTACTTCCCCTCTGCAGTGTAGGGGAATGGGACAGGCACCTGAGTTTCTCTGACCTCAGGTTTGCATGGAGTAACAGGACATGAGGCAGTCATCTCTAGACCCATGCAGCTACACTGACGCTTCCCCAATGGCCAGAGGCAGGTGGTGGTGGGGGGCTGATTTTGTCAGCCTATGTCTACACCAGGACTCCTGAGACAGTCGTAGGAACACAGGGGCATATCTGTCTGATTCTCTTGGTGGGTGATGGATGCCAGAAGGAAGCAAAGGTGTCCAATGGGGGCCTGCAGGTGCACCAGGTTTATTTGGCTGCAGGTCCCTTCTTCCACTATCTGCCTGCAAGAAGCAAGACTTTGGATGGTGGTTGCCAGAAGGCAGAATTGGATCTTTCTGAGTCTCTCTGCTCCAGTTGGCTGGACATGGGAACAAGTTTTTCAATGGTGGCTGGTAGCAGGTGGTGACGGACATGGCTGTATCTCTCTGCCCATGCTGGCTAATCACAGGAATTATACCTTCTAATGGCAGTGGCTGGCAAACATAGGTAGATCTTTTTAAAAAAGTTTACTTAGATATTTTTTTCTTTTAACAGCATTTATTGGATCTCTGTTTGTAAGATAACATATCAAAAATGTGTTTCAAGAAATTATAAAGATTGAGGCCAATCAGAAACTAACAGCAATTGTAAAGCTGCTAAATGTAAAGTTGTAGGCTTCATTTTAATCATCATAAGTTCCATTGGTTGAATTCTTTCATTGCTGAAATAAAAAATTTGCAAGACTTAAATCTCATTGAGAAGCTCTCTCTATAGTTTTTGCTAACACTGAAATTTAAAAGATTTGGTTTTTACATCTTGAAAAGTTTTTAAGTAATCATTAACATTTTTGTGGTAGCCTTGATGGTCCACGGATCTTGTCATGTGGCTCCAGCCAGAGTCATCCTCTAACCCTTGGACCTGTGCACATGTGCTCCAATATTTGCCTCAAAGATCTGACTGTGATATTTCATTTATATTCTGAAAAGCTAGCCATGTGTTGTTATGCCAGTATGTTCACCCTGTGCTGCTGCACTATCACCAATTAATGATGTAAGCTTTGTGCCTTCCATACATTCAGGCAAATGGGCACATGCCAGGGTGCCTAGTGTGGGCAGAGGCACAGTTGTGCAGACCCCTGTGAGTAGGACAGCATGGTACTCAGGAAAGTAGAGGCAGGCATGTCCAAGGCTTACACCTGCTCTGGCAATGAATGGGGAGTTTCTATAACCCCCATCCACCTGTTAAGTACACTGCCCGCTGGAGCAGGTTACTTCATCCCCCAGCCAGGCTTTAGGATCTGTGGTTTGCAGAACTCTATGATTCCTGCCATGAGCCACTGGCATATACCAACCCAGTTTTCTCCTCTGTTCAAGGAACTGTAAGAGGTGGTGGTAGAGGCAGCACTCTGAGATTTCTTACATTCTTGGTTTGTGGTGGCCCTTTCAAGAATCTGTGGGTGTGTTGATAGATTTCTCCTAGTGCTTTTTCTGCCAGACCTTTCATACTGAATTGGTCCTTCCCCTAAAACCTCTAGTGTTGGGGCCTGCCTTATTGGTAAAGATTTTGCTCATTGGGAAGACATCTCTTCCTACAAAGGCTCTGCTTTAAGTGTGGGAGCCTCTGTTTGGAGCACTTATGTTTACCCTGTTCCTGCAGCAGGAGGTGTTGACTCCAAGCTCCTCCATAATGGATTTAAAAGAGATCAAAATGTGTTTCAAATTGAACAGACATTAGAGGAGATTATTTATTCTATGCCTGTATAATTTTTAAAAAAATTTTGTGTAGGCACATGAATTTTATGATCTGCTTTGCCCCCAACAGTCCCAGTCAAGAAATTACTTGAGCCAGTAGTGACATTACCTCACTATTTGAGCATCCTCATGTTTGTCATGCAGGGTTCCATATTTGTCTCTTATCTACAGTGACATATATTATGGATGGCCTTCTTAGAACAGGTGCAGCACCAGTTATTGGAACCTTGACTTAGCATGACAAATCCCTTTCTCAAGGATAGGATGAAGTAATTAAAACAGAGACAAGATATTTATTTCAGTTACAAGAAAAATTGCAAAAGTCAAAACACAGTGAAGGACTAAGATAAAGAGGTTCAGTGTCTCTAGAACTTCTTAGTTGCACAGCTGGAATTGGGGGGTGCACTAGTGGGCTGCAAGCAGTGAAGCCAGTGAACTGTAGATGTGTTCGAGGTTTTAGAATGGAGGAATGTTACCTTTTAGGCAAAGTACACAGGAACAGATCATAATAAACTAGTAACTGGACCACTGAGCTAGAAGGAATTTAGATAAGCCAAAATCCTCAGATATTGTGTTATCTTGCTTCAGATGCTTAGAACACACAGACCATTGGCTGGTTTCAGACCTGGTCTTAGGGCTGCAGATAAATTTCATCTAACATAGGCTTCTTGTCTTGCCAGAAGTCACATAGTACCAAGACAGACTCTCATTTTAATTTACATTTATCTTCATTATGATTATTTCTAGGTAATTTTCTTATAATGGTTGCAGCAAAGTAGATTCTTTGTCAAATTAGATAAAGTTGCCTCATTTGAAACTATGTATGCTTGTTTTCTGGAGATCAACTAGGTCTCTCAGTTTTAGCTAGTGTTATAAAATTTTAGCTCAAGCATACCTACCCATTTTGGTGGAATGTAATATAGGAGTTCCATTCCTATCAACATCCTATTTCAGTTTTTTAAAATGGGAAGAAAGAAGAAATCTTAATGCTTATGACACTTTTGTGATATTTGTGATACAGAAATACAGGGAAATCAATTGGTGCAACCTGTGCAGCTTCACAAAAGTAGCCAGCTCACATGGCTCCTCATTTGCTTTTATCCCTGGAGATTCAACAGAGCTCCTGTGAATGCTGCTTCACTAGTTGATCAATGATTGTCATGACTTAAATCAACAGACTTCTTGTTTGTTCCCTTTTGCCCATAGAAATCCACAAAGTTGAGAGAAAGAAATATAAAAAAAGAAGGAAATCAAATAGGTACAAGAACAAAAGAAGAAAAGAGAGAATGTAAGGCATAAAGGAGGAGAAGACAGTTAAATCTTTAAGTGTGGAGAATGGATTTGCATAATTTAGGATAATTAGGAGATATATTTATTGTGGAAGTTGAGACAGTTTCCTATTACTTCCTAAGGACCCAAGATCTACTTGGATTTTATGAATGGTAAGAGTGAAATCTAAAGCTACATCAGACCACAATGGTCAGCACTCTTGTATTCGGGTGTATTCTAGAACCATCAAGGTCTCTGACATTTCAATTGAAAGCTAGAAGCATCTCTGCTTACCACTTAATTCCTAAGTCAGTTGTTGAGGGGTGCTGCCCTTGTATCCCTCAGCCCAGTATCTAGGTTCCTTTAAAGATTCTACTGATTCTAGAGCTTTTTGAACAGGCCATGGAGGGAGAATATACACCAAAATTCAAGGGAATGTCTCTCAGTGATAAAAACTTGACGCTCTGCTCCCTCGCTGCAAAACTCAGTACAAAGTGTGAGATCTTCATTACTATCCATGGAGATCGGATCTCACAAGTTCCTCATTCCTGCCACAGGAGTCTTGCCTCCCAGTGATCTGGTGAAGCTGAAATGTGGTAATGTAAGTCATTTAATACATGCCTGAAACCTAGCTGCTCAGCACGATTCTCAGGTGCACTTCTGGCCCTGCCATCACTCTTCCCACAGCAATTCTATATGCCTTTCCAAGCAGCACATGACTACAATTGGAAAGGGAAAGGAAAGGTGAAAAATGTGAGTTAACAAAAATTATACGGGTTCCAGGTTAGGCAATCAAAGTTTTATTCCACTTTTCCTTGTGCCTTGTTAAGCATTGTAAGGTTTTTCACAGAAAAGAAACAGTATGTTTAGTAATGGGAAATGAAAAATAGGCATTTTGTAGCCTTATGAAGACAATAAGTTGCCATGGTTTCACAGTCAGGCTGTAGGATCTGCGCTTGTGCCTTTGACAAGTTTTGGAGGAATCCAGGTTGAAGAAGCAGATAAAAGCATCAGGGGTCACACAGAGCCACATCCTTATGATGGTCACATCACTGAGTCTTTGTCTTCAAAGTCCCCTTGTGCTGCTGCACTAGTGAACCAACCCACTCCCCTGTTTTCTGCTTGGCTTCCTCCCAGCTGAAGAGTGGCTCATATCCTAGGTGGCGTTGAGCTTTCTTATAGGAGACTGTGAACACACTATTTGACAGGGTCAGTAAGTGGCGGGTGAAGGGCGGTTGAAAATTATAAATTGGTCTCAACAGAAAGCTCACCATTTCTAGCAGGAAAGCAAGCCAGTACATTAGAGACAAAGGGATGCTTGGGCCAGAATCAAGGCAGAAGCCCCATTTTTTGCTCAGATTGTAACTGAGGTTATCATAACTTTGGTGAGGTGTGTCATCTGAGACATAATAGAACTGTCCTTGAATATCTGAGGCCTTGTTAGAGTCCCTGAGGGCTCTGGAGGCCATAATGTGGGCCCAGGCCACATTACCAACATAGACTGGATTGGCTACAGAGAATTTGCCTGTGCTTTTCAGTATGCCATTGTTTTTGAGGGCTTTATTCATCTCAGAAGATAAGAATGGGCTTCCTTCTCCATAGATGTACGTGGGCCTCAAAGCACAAGTATACAGGGTGCCACCATTTCTCAGGGGGCAGCCATTAGCTTTCAGCACAGCCTTCTCAGCCAGCCTTTTGCTGCATGGGTATGGAGCAGACCAGGTGCTTTCATGATGGTTGTACTCATTGGTGTTCTGGACAATCTCCTTGTAGGAGTTGGGCCCAGCTACTTCGATTGTGCTTGTGTAGATGAAGATTGGCACGCTGGCTTGTACACAGGCCTCCAACAGGAACTCGGTACCTGCACGTGGTGAGCACAGGGTCAGCATTCATAAATAAACCAAAGGTTCCCCCATGGATAACAATCTTGTTCATATCCACAACTTCCCTCTGAAGTGATTTTTGCAGGCTAGTCAAGGAAAAATATCAACAAAATGGAAACAATATCTATGTTGTCATGCTACAGAAACCTGATTCAAACTGAAAGGAACATGCCTTGTACCAGGAAGTTGGAAGGCAAACTATTTTTACACTAGAGAGCTGGTGAAAGGCCAGTTTTAAATCACCAGCCCTGAGTGAATTTTTGATTTAATTTACACAGGATTTGCAAGCAGGAAATACATAAGTCGACAGCAGATTATTATATAATTGATTACACAAATGATGTCCTATGATGTCAGGCAGATTTATCCTAGGCAGATTTATTTTTAAGGAATTGTTTTTCTTAAAGCCAAAAAATTCTGGCACTCAGGGCTGAGCAGAGTAGGTAGAGTGAAAATTGTGCTTCACTAGGTCAATCTGTTCTAGGTAAAAAGTCCTTGAAACATACTGGAATAACAGGTTGTATTTTTAGATGTGGAAACACACACACTGACACTGGACTTGGACACTGCCATGGCCTGTCAGTCTGTGAGAAACAGCTGAACACAGTCAAGGCTGACTGAATTGATCAGTCTATGTGACAGGCAAGATGAACACATCCTGTCCCAGTAATAGATACAGGCTGCTAGTTAAACTTTTAAGTTTCTATTAATTTTCTATACAGACAGAAATAATGTCCAGGCTTTTGTGTTCAGTACATTTGTGTGTGTGTGTGTATTTTAATCTTTGAAAGAGGCATAGGTGTGCTACTGTGTATGTTACCAAGGTGGATATGTGATCACTATACATCTTGAGATACAGCTCAATGTTAGACTATATATCTAGTATATCTAATGTGTCCTAGCCCTACAGTTATTTCTATTGTGGAAGGACAAAGAAGACAATGAATAAGTAAAAGATAAAATAAAAATTAATTTCCACTTGTCATTCACATAATTTCATTATTTAAGGGTCTTTTAAATCTTAAATTTCAAGAAGCACAGAAAATTTAAAATTCATATCACATATTCTCATTGTTGATCTGCAATATGCAACTATTATATGTGCATATATTTACATTTTTGAAAGATTAGTACACAAGTGTTTAGGTAATCATGATTCCCCATTACATTGTTTTGAAGCCTTATAATGATCGCAGTTGTAATGTGTTTGTCCTGGTTTTTTGTTTTCATTATCTGTGATGGTATGAACAGATAATTTGAGGGAAACAAGTTATTATAATAGCCAGTACTGATATAATATCATCTTACTCCAAAGTCCTACCATGCTCTTGCTCTTCTGTTTCCATTAGTTCTATCACGTTGTACCTTATTGGGTTATATTACATATGAAAGTATAGGGGCTGGGGATTTAGCTCATGGCATAAGTGCCTGCCTTGCAAGCAGTCATGAGTTCAATCCCCGGTACCGATAAAAAGAAAAAAGACAAGAAAAAAAAAGAAAGTATAAACAAATTTCTTATGGAAAATGAGATAATATAGTAACCATTGTTTGTTTTCTGTTAATTGGTTCTGAAAACCCTGTAATACTCTCATTCTCTTGAATGTTTTTATACTATTTTGTTATGTTTGATACTATTGTATATGAAGTTATACTCAACTATTTCAAAGAAAGAGACATTGTGGTAGTTACTGTTAATTATGGGTTGTCTTCTGGTGAAATACTGTTTTGCTTACATTGTTTTGTTCCGATCTGCTCTGTTATGTCCTGTTTTGTCTTAATCTCTTTAAAATAAAAAAGATTAATAACTTTCACAAGAACAATATTTGAGTCTGAGCTAATAGTTGGTTGAATTGGGTGAGATGTGAAGACCCACATGTGATCCTTAGTTTAGCAGGGGAGACTCTGCATCCCTGAACTAGTATCCAAGGTATTTCTGACAGATCAAATAGGGAAAGGGACAAGCTGGGAATTGAAAGACTGTCCTTCTGGGTTCAGAGTGACAGTGGTACATGGCAAGCTTCCTAGTGGTTCAATTTAAAGCCAGAAGGAAAGTTGCAACTCAGAAGAAGCCACCAAGTATTTAGAGATGAGTATTTAAGGAGTGATTTTTATCTTTAGGCATCTGATCTTGACCTACTCCTTGTTTAGACACAATAGTGTGCAGAAGAGATATAGATTATGAGAAATAATTCTTGCCTAGAAAATGTAGTGGGGAGGCCCATGCAGGACCATTCTGTTGTAGCATACTCCTGTGAGACAGCTGTGCTAGTTCTTTGGAGAGGAAGCCTTCCTTCAGGTGGACAGGAGGCTCTGGATGACCTTCATGCAAGTTCTATGTGTGCAGCTGAAGAGGCATAAGCAGAGTCTGATTTCACAGAGGGGAGTTATTAGGTACAAGGACATCAGGAATGTAGAGTAATAGGATAGTTTAATCTGTAATGGAGTAACTGAAGGAAGATTCATTGCTTTGAAGTCAAATATGAGTGATTCTGAATGCTCGCCTTCCTCCTGACTAAATATGTGTCCTTGGCAAACTTCCTTGCTTTTCTTATCCCTGGTTTCCTCATCTAAAAAACAAGAAAATATTATCTTTGAGTATAGTCAGATGAGAGTCCTGAACAAAGGCTATTGGATAAGAACTCAGCAGGTGCTCTACAGGGGGACTTCTCTTTCCCTTCTCATCCCTCTTGCCATTTTTTTCCCAGCAGGTGCATGTTGCTCATAGGCTGCTCTACCTTTCAGGTTGACTTCCATGATGGTCTGTGCAGGGAGGACACCAGATACATCAATGACAGCAGCGGTATGAATAACAACTGAGATGCCCTGGCAGGCTCTCCTCAGGGTCTGAGCGTCCAGAATGTCTCCTTCTACTATTGTCACCTTTGTCTTCATGTTCAGCTCTGTGGAAAAAGAATACAGGTCCTTAGGAAGTTTTCTATATGGACTAAAAATTTTAACAATAAGGTGCCAGTTGGTAAGTAGATTTTCAAGAATATTCCTAGCAGGGAGATATGGAGGAATTAGGACACTCCATGGATAAAACAAAATAATAAGGGCATAGAAATCACAGTGTGTAGCATTTATTGGTAACAATCAAACAACTGTTGCAACCGATTCTTTTGCAGAACATGAATCTGAGTGGTAATCTCTGATGAGTATCATGAACAAAAATTGTTAGTGAGTCCAGAGAAGTTTTATCAAATTCATCAAGGAGTGGGAAAGTTGTAGATAGTTGGATAAAGAAGCCAACTTAGCATTTAATTGTGTAGACAATGAGTAATTCTTCAGGGAATTTGAACTGCAGGAGAAACTGAGGCAGTGTTGTGAATAGGACACTCACCTTGGCACCAGGATGTCCATTATACTATTGCAAAGATATAGTAGAAAACAAGGCTTCAATGCACTAATCATAGTGTCGCTGCCAGAATTCATAAGAGGGCAAACACAGTCCCAGCAGTAGGAGCACAAGAGAGGAGACCCACAAGCGGTGAGTTTGTGGTCTTCCCATTCCAGATTTGGGTGCTTAACTTGGTCTATGATGTGCAGAAAATCAATTAAGCTCATCCCTAGTGTTTTCTACTTGTGTGAGTAACAGAAGTTGAATGGAGTCATGCACAGAGAATTCAAGATGGATTCTTCTGATGAGCTTAATTGAAAACATCTAATGTGTTGAATATTATCAATAGCGGATATCCATGAGGTAAATGAATCATCTACATTTGATTTCCATCCCAGCTGTGTAGTCCAGGAGAATTACAACAGAAAAATTTCCATATATCAGGTAAGATCCACACGTATGACACAAGCACACCTCCAGTGATACGACCATCTCAATTTAGTCCAGAAAATTCATCTTGTGCTACATGTAGTCTCCATCAATCCTGCGCATTTTTTGGGATTTTACAGTTTACAAATAAATGGATGGTTGATTCATTTCCTTTCCTACTGACCACAGAAGACAGGAATTCTGAATCCAGTTTCCCCTGTGTAGGTGAGGAAACCGGATCACTAAGCTACAGGGAAGATCTGAGGGTTCATACCACACCTGCTTCTTCAGCTTGCTGTCTGCACCCCAATGACAGGATGAAATGTTAGGAATTAGATTTTCTGAAGCTGAATCAAGATAAATGTGCTGGACAGAACATGCAAGTGAGGCCTCAGGATGAGGGAAGAGAGACAATCAGAGAAAAAATACTAGGTTGATGGATCCCTATTTGTGGTGGAAGAAGAACCACTCACTGGATTTCTGTGTTATGTTATGTTTGTTTTCATCCCTTGTCTTTGTAAAGTAACCCAAGGTGGCCCTCTAGTGCAGGAAGGTGAAGAAAGGCTGAAGTTTGGAGATGGGTGTATGCCTAAGTGTGGTATCTTCCTTTGTTATGTCTCTACTCTATTATTACTATTACTACTATTTTCCCAGCACAAGAACATAAAATTAAAACAATTAGGTAAAAGGAACAGATCACCTATAAAAGAAAGTCCATCACAATCAACACCAACTTCTCTACACAAACTCTCTAGTCAAGAAATGCTTAAAGTATTTCAAATACTGAAAGAAAATAACTTGCAACTCAGAGTGATTTCTCCTAAAAAACTTATCTCTCAATATTAATGGAAGAAAAAGAACACTTCAGTGACAAAGAACAACTAAAAAAATTCATGGTGGTAAAATCAACCTATGAAGAGTACTGAAAGACATTCCTGACAGATTTAAAAAAAAAAGTCTACAAACCACCAGGCAGGGCAAGATTTAACAGAGGGGAATATCAGAGAATCCACAGCAAAAAATAACATGACAATGATAACACACATCAGTAGTAACCATCAATGTAAATGGCCTCAACCCATCAATCAAAAGAAAAGAACCAGTAAAATAGATTTAAAAAGCACATCAAACAATATGATGTATATAAGAAATACATGTAACTAAAAAAAGAAATTCACAGACTGAAAGTAAAAGAATAGAAAACAATATTTCATAAAATGGAAATGCAGAAAAAAGGAGTAGCTATTCTCTTTGCAGATAATGTGAATTTCAAACCAAGAATGATCAAAAGAGATAAATAAGATCACTGTATCCATATTAAGGAAAAACATCAAGGTGAAGAGATAACAATCATAAATATATATGAATCCATTATGGGAGCACACATCTATATTCAACAAATATTAATACAGATAAAAAAGAAAACAGACTATAATGCAGTTGCAACAGGACCTTAACATCCCATTGTCACAAAGAGATAAATTCACTTAAAAACTTCAGGAAAGAAATAATAGCTCTGAATTGAGCAGGTGAATAAATGGACTTAATAGATGCTTACAGAGTACTTTGGCCAGCAACAATATCAGAATTCACATTCATCTCAGCTGCACATGGGATGTTATCTAAAGTAGACCATATACTAACCCAAATAACATGCTTAAGTAAATGCAATGGAATTGAAGTCTCCCCATGCACATTATCTGAGCATAGTGCAAAGAGTAAATGTTAATGGCAAAACAATCTGCAAAAATTCCATAAATACATGGAAGTGAAATAACACCCTCATGAAAAATCAGTTGATCACAGAAGAAATTAAAGAAAAATAATCAAAAAATATCTGCAATTAGTAGGCACTGCAAACATGGTACCATGTATTGTTCAAATAGAACACTAAGAATCTTTGAGCTTAACTTTCTTCAGGCCTGTGCCTGAACTGTCCCTCTTCCTGAACTGTCACCAGGAGAAGTTGTTCTTCAAAGCTGAGCACCATGTTTTCCTACCACCAACAGTTACACTGCCAATATTGCAGTGATAGCATGTTTACAAACAGTTCTGCTCATATTTTAATATTTGCTTACTGGACACACCACAGACGCAGTCAAGTGAAGAGAGCTGATAGTGGAAGAAGTGAAAGAAGAGGAGAGGTATGGGATGGTTAGGATTTTCTGGAAGGTCTTCTGTTTGCTTATGGGGTGATTTGTGCAGTCTTATGCCTTAAATACCGAGGCCACAGAATTGGGGTAGACAATGGGTTTAAAGGTTTGAGGTGGACAATGAAAAAGACTGAAGTCTAACTATGCCAAGTGTTACGTCCATGTTTCAGTGATGTAGCCTCAGGGATGGAATGTAGATGGACTTCTAAGGTCCATTATTTTCCCATGACCCGAGTTTAGTTTCCCAATTCTTTTGCAGATGAATGAGTCCTATTTTCTACTGTCACCACTGGATTGTTTTAAAGATCTAGGGTAAAGCATCTGGGAATATTTAATATTTTTTCCATGAGCTTTATTTGTAGTAAGGGCAACAACTTGGGAAAAGAACAATGGATAAGTCCAGTCACTCTGCTTCACTCTTCTTTTGGGGGTGAAGAGAAGTAAAGCATGGTAAGAATAATGTCGGAGGCTCCCAGGTAGGAACCCTGGTCATGCTGCTCCTCACCTGTGTGTACTTCAGTGACTTTGTACAGATACTCATGTATGCATTCTCTCTCTTTCTCATTTTTATACCCAAGAGCAGCTTTACCTGCATTTCCTTTATCTTACCTTCACCTAAAATGCTGACTATTTGTACCCTCAAAGAAAGCAAACAGTGAGATCTACGGCAACCAAGAGAACAGAGGACTCATGCCTGAGGCCCCTGGATCAATAATTCTCAGCAGGAGTTGGGGGACAGTTGTCTAGTTCAGACGCATGAGCAGACTAACCAGCTGCAAGTGAGAGAAGTGATGCATGATTTCTAGATGAAAAGTAGAGAGATCCAGAGACCCAGTGGCTCCTTATGGCCACCTAGAGTAATACTGAGTCAGGCATAGGCAGGAGATACAGTGTGGGAGGCATCTCGTGTTAGGCTCAAAAAAGATAGGATGCCTCTGGTTGTTGGAGATCAAAGAGTGTGCAGTTCTCACCATTGTTTTTGCTTATCATAGCTTAAGCCTGAGAAAATCCTCCTCTCGGGATTTTAATTAAATCTTGCTATGAATCTAAAACACATGTACATGCTCTTATATTCTTTTGACCTTTGGCATGAGCCTGAAGAACATGTGCCTATTTCAGAGTAACTGATTGTAAGCCCAGGGTTAGTTTGAAATTATTAACATTGCCATTTTGATCACTCAAAGGGGTTTGACAGCCATTGAGGCTTTGATCAACTCCAAATAAATTAAAAAAGTGTTCAGTTAATTGTATAGAATTTTCTAGTAGGTATAATCACAGGCCCTAAGACATGCAAAAGTTTCCTCAAAACCTGAAGCTGTGAGGAAATGTGGTGAATTTTCTCATCATCTTACTCCCACTTTGAGGAGCACATTTCCTTTAATATATTTCAGTCTTTATACTGTGGCCCTGCTCAGTTCATTTCGAATGCAAAGAACCTGCATATTGACTGAGACTGAGAACAAGTGTTCAGTAACAAGTCCAGAAACCAGTTTCCCAACAGCTGTGCAAGATCTCTTACCCTGTACATCCTCAGTTCTTTCTGATGAGTGTGGACATGGAATATCCATTATGATCCCACATTTCCTGTTTGTTTTAAAAAACATCCTCTCCCACAGTTGGTTAGGCTGTAGAATGGATCCCTAATGTGAAATTTCCAGTCCACTTACTGGAGAATTCTTCCTTGGTGTCTGGTCTGAAGAACTTGTCCAGGGCTCTGACCTCCTGCAGCCCCTCCTCCTGCACCAACAAGTGGACAATCCGCTGGCCTAGGAAGCCTCCTGCTCCTGTCACCAGACATCTCCAGCCTGTCATGGCCAATGTAGAGAGCAGAGCACAGTGAGGATCAGATGTGATGATAGGTGACTCTGGAGAGGATTAAAGAAAACAAAAGTCCAATAGGTACAGGGCACATAAAGTGCTTATAATATCAGACAGGGGAATTTACTCAGTTTGGCCTTTGTACTCTCAGATTTTGTTATGACTTCTACCCTACAACATCCATGCAGTCATAGAAGGTGTTTTGATATTGACTGATGCTACAACCACTTCATGGTTCAATGCTAGTATCAAAGGGTACTGTGATAAACAGTAAGTGAGCTGCTCACCCTGAGTAGTCTACATGATACATAAAAGAAGGACTTGAGATTGTTTTTGCTTGCTTTTGCCTGCCTGCTTGCTGTGGACTGCTGGTTTCCTGTTATGCCTCTCTGCCATTTGACTTTGCCTTGGTGCCAGCCCTCTAGGAGCAGAACATGCCAGGACTGTGAGCTACTTAAACATTTCCTCCTTTACCTTTATCCACTGGGTGTTTATCTCAGCACTGAGGTAAGTAACTGAGGCACACATAGATTTCATCTGTGATTGCAATATGTGCAGTGTGATTGCCTGACAAAATCACATTCTATCTAAAATGTCTAAATCACTTTAGATATCCATTACAAAACCCAGGTTTCTTTAGTTGTTCTTCAACATTAATGTAATTAAATGGAAGTGGTCATGAAATGAAGAGAAATATTTACTTACCTAATGTGTTGGTTAATTTTAAAGGAGGTTATAAAGGATACGATTAGAAAGTTGCCAAATATAGTGGAATTTTCAGGAAGCTTCAGTGCTCTTGCTGTCCACAGAACCCATCAGGTGTGTCCAGTCCTCGGCCTCTGCAAGCACTGATCGTTCAGATCTCTGTCTGTGGGTTATTATGGAGATTAGCATATTCACATGATCAGGAGATGAACAAGTATGTCAACATATGATTGGACTGAATTTGACCAAGTAATAACAGATTAGTGGGTATCCAGTTAGACCTTTGAATTTGGATTTCTCCACGTTTCTTCCTTGAGGGTGTGGAGCAAAATCACACTGGAATGTAGATCATATCAAAAACATAATCTTTGTTTCCAAGCAAAGATCCTTAACATCCAAGGACTATAAAACTCAAAAGAATTTAGAACTTTACTCAATTGTCTTTCAATTATTAACAACATGGCTAGGACGACATATTACACGTAGGTGTTTTCACAATGAGGATGTTGTTTTCAGAATTAAGTTCAAGAACAGGATGATCAACAAGCAGTTTCTTGCTCAGGCATATTGAGTACTCAGGTTAAAAGAAAATATTGTTTCTGGTTTGAATCATGCCTGAGGTATGAAGTTAACATTAGTTATTTTTGTTTTAAAAACAAAAGAATAGAAACAATGTAGAATTTCCCACAAAAGTAGGAATTTGAAGGTAGTTAATATATTGCATATTGTTATTACAAGTAGTTGTTCAGATTACAAGATTTAAGAACGAAAAATGATCAAATGATCAAACAATCAAAGCACAAACTGTTCTTTTTGATAAAATTTCAGAGATTAGTAGTATTGTTATCTATCTTGTATACACACACACACACACACACGCACACACGCATGCACATATACACAGAAAACACAGAACACAAGCAAATAATAGAATCATGAGAAGAAAATGAAATAAGATGTTTTCAAATATCCCCAATTCCTCTGTACTTGCTGATACGGTATCAAAGGTGAATTAACCAACAGCCAACAAAATGTGTCAGGAAGGCAAATTCATAGGAAATATAAACAGATAAAAAGATCTAAGTAGATAATGCCATATTCAAAAAATGCCGTATTTAAAAAATGATCAGAAAGTCTAGAGAAGATGCCAGTAACAAAACTTGGTAAAGTGAACAATTCAAAGTTAAAACAACATTTAAAAGAATGAACTCAGAGACACTAATAAAAAGCTAGCTGAGGTAAACAATTTAATACAACACAAAAACAACAAGCTTAGAAAAGAATGCATTGATAGGGGCTGGAGATTTAGCTCAGCGGCATAAGCGCCTGCCTTGCAAGCAAGCAGTTGTGAGTTCGATCCCCGGTACCAATAAAAAGGAAAAAGACCAAAAAAAAAAAAAAAAAAAAAAAAAAAAAGAATGCATTGATAAGATTTCAATTTCAATTCAATTTCTGAATTTTCAGAAATTCAGAAGAGTAAGGATTCTATTGAAAATACAGGCTATAAACATGACCAGTGAGAGCACAGTGTCAGAACAATATGACAGGGTTGCTGCCAGAGTCCAAAAGAGTGAGGGATAACAGCAAGAGAGGATCCAACAGATAACACAAAAGAAGACAAATTCAATATTAATTGGAATTAATTAAAAATTACAACACAGTGGAAATAATATAAAACAACTGCTTACAAAAATAACAGCACACAGATTTCAAAATAAGAGAAAAGAAATTTTCACCCAGAGAAGTGAAATATATAAAACACCAAAAAGAACCTCTTCATAATACATTACAGTCACAGTTCTGGATATACAGCATAAGAAAAACAGACAAAACAATGAATCACATGTAAAATCAAGAAATAAGAAACATGAATGCAAAAGAAATAAAAGAAAAAGGAGAGTTTCACATATCCCATTAATCTTGCAAAGAAGAAAGGAGAATATGGCAGAATAAATAAATAAATGAATAAATAAAGAATTTGTAAAAAACACAAAAAATTCTTTTAGTTTAGAGTGGTGATTTTCTACCAGAGCCTGCAGGTTTGTCATCCAAGAAGTCACAGATTTCTCTGCTTATTGGGGGAATTTAGTCATATCTATGTTGAGAAACAAGAACAAAGAGCCAAGCATGTGTTTGTTAGGTGCAATTCTGTTCCTGAGATCGATCTGTGTGTTTATCGAAAGTTGTAGCAACTGACCAAGCTGATTAACACTCAACTAATCCCAGTATGACACCCTTATTCCACATTTACACACCCTATATTCATCTATCTCTTCTGCTTATGACCACGTAAATTTGTGGCTTTGGTGGAAAATTTAGGTAGGCAGGAGCAATAATATTCCACTCTTGAACTCTCAAAATACTCATGTATCTTTATTTGGGCAAACTTTCAACTCTAATAGATAAAAGATAAAAGATAAAAATAGGCGTTATAAAGGAATGGGACCAAAGCAAGTCCAAAGTTCAGCAGGAAAAGCATTACATCCCATAGTACTATGCCCAGCATTTGGGGCCAACTGTGAATTCCAATGAGCATGGGAGGCCCCATTTCTATGGCACTGCCCATAATTGCAATTCTCATCGATTCTTTCTAGGGCTTTGCTTGCTCCTTGAAGCTTTCTTCAAATAGTCCATGTTCCTGGCATCTCCAAACTTCTAAGAACTCCATGCATCCAATCTGTCTCAGTCTCACACAGGTTTAAAGACTGCCATTGCAGGGCATTCCACACTTTCATCTGAAATCTGAGTAAAAGCATTCCTGATTCCAAACTCATGTATTGTACATCTAATGAAAACCAGCACCATGTGGATGGCACCAAGATCTACTACCAACTGGAGCAGTAGCCAGCTTGTGTCCCTTTTGGCTGTAGGCTATGAGTTCCTGGATTGCTGAGTGCTGTGAGCCTAATCCAGAGAATCAACTTCTTTTTTTTTATTTTTTTATTTTTTTATCGGTACCAGGGATCAAACTCATGACTGCCTGCTTGTAAGGCAGGTGCTTATGCTGCTGAGCTAAATCCCCAGCCCCAGAGAATCAACTTCTTGAGGCTACCACAATTCTGGAATGTGGTGCTCTGGGACTATCTCCTCAAAAGATAGTCTTCATCTTTTCAAAACTGTTCTTGTACTGTTAGTTCATATAATATTCTTGAGGTATTTTTTCTATTGTTCTATTTCTTTATAGCAAGCAAGGTCTCTATTGGTCCACCTTTGCAGGTCCTAACTTTAATAGAGCCTTTTTTTCTGGTCAAACTCAAAACAGTTTAAATCATTCTGCTGGGCTCTTTGTCCTTGATTCTCAACATAGATATGACTAAATTCCCCCAATAATATCCATGCCAAGTCTAAACATGAGATGTCATCCCAGAACTACTGGAATTGGAGTGAGTATGCCCAGGGATTCTGATAATACACTGAAGAAGTTACTTTGTATGATTGACCTTTCCCAGGTACCAACACTGTGTATGATTCACAGCAGAGGTCCTCAGGATTAGACTCCATGAATACTGTGTGGACTCTTTCTAGACCTAGTGCTCCAAATGGAGGTAGAGGGGGCAGGCATGTGAGAGAGACAGAGATTCAGTTGCATTCTAACACTATATAATAATGGAGGAGTAGGCTGATTGAATACTAACATGATATCAAACTCACATTCTTTGTGTTGAGTTTGCAGAATATAAGGATGTTTGCAGCTGCCAAGAAGGGCTGCCTCACCATGCCATGCTACCTCAGAGGTAACTGTGTATGGACTCACACCTCCAAGAACTGTAAGAAATAAATCTTTCCTTTCCTAACTTTGGGCATCATATGTTTTGTTTCAATGATGAGTAAAATAATAAGACAGAATTTGATACCAGAGGAGTGGGTTGTGGCTGTGACTATACCTGGCCATGTGGTTTGAGAGCCTTTGGAAATGACTTGTGAGCAGAGTTGGAACGGTTTGGAGATGGTGGCTCAATGCATATAGCTGGAACAGCTTAGGCTGTTCTTTACAGGAGATTCTAGCCAGAGCTCAGGAGATGGAAGGGAAGATAAAAAACCAGCTAGTAAAGACCAGGCTCTGGAGGTTTCTGTGGGGAAGAAGGGCTGCATTGATTGTTGGACTCTAGTTAATGTATGGTGGCTTGGCAGAAAGTTTGATTGCATTTTGCTTGTGTCCAGAGACTTTGCCTGAGACTGAGATTAAAGGTGGAGGAGTGATTAATCTGGCAAAAGAAATTTCAAGGCAGCCAAATGTTGAGGGTGAGGCATGGCTTTTGTTGGAGGCTTTTAGCCAGATTTGTGTTGCAAATCAAAAGAAAGAGCCCAACAGAGTAATTTAAAATGGTCTGAGATTGGCCAGAAGGAAAATGTCAGTAAAGCTTTTGGAGTGTAAAGAGAGAGAGCTGAGACTTTGATTGCTGAAAAGGAGCAGAGAAAGAAAAAAGATGGCTAGGGGGCATCCCAGGAAGCAGCATGTCTCCGCCATTGCAGCCTCAAAACTGCAAAAAAGGAGGACTTTGCTCAGAGGAGAAAGCTGAAGAATGCCATGCTCTAGAATGGTGACAGAGGCCACATGAAGTTCCAAAATGGTGGCAGCATATGAGGTTCCAAAATGGCAGCAGCCACACCAGGTTCCAGGATGATGGTGACTTAGAGAAGCTTTCCCTCACAATCAGGTTCACAGAGCCCAATGATCCAGGCATTGACCCCTACAGCCAAGAGAGAGAAATGCCTGGCTACTGCTCCAGCTAGCAGTGGACCTTGGCAGCATCCACATGGTGCTTTTAGGTGCAAGAAAAACGCACAAATTCTGAGGGTAAAATGGCTTCCACCCTGATTGCAAAAGGCCTGGGAGGTCAAGCAGTGTGCCCCCGAGAGGGCAATATGTGAGTATATAAGGATGAAGCCAAAGATGCAGCAGAGACTCCAAAAGTTTGGAAAAGCCAGGAATGTGGGTCATCCAAGGAAATCTGCAAAAACTGAGCAGATGTGGCTTAAGAGAGAAGCTGCAGGAGCTGAAATCCCTGAAAGTGTCATGGAAGTTGAATCACCTGAGCCTTTTGGAGCTTGCAACCAAATTGCTTCAAATGCTGAGCGTGGAACTCTACGAATTATTGTTCACCTTGATGGATGTTAGACTTGCTTTATGTCCAATGCTTTGCATTCCTCTGTTTGTAACTTTTGGAATAGTAATATTTATGTTGTGCCTTTGCATTTCAGAAATGTTTAAACTTCTTTCATTTGTACAAGGGTTTACAGTTAAGAGTTTGCCACAGATCTGGAGAAGACTTTGGATTTGGAATTTTCAGCAACGCTGAAATTGTTAGGACTCTAGTAACTCTTGGAGATGGACTAAATGTCTTTTGTATAAAGAATGTTCGTGAGTTTTTGGGGAC